TGTTAATTATTATTAACTTTTCTTTATCGCTCACTATCGATTAGCTTAATAAGCTAATTCATAACTGTAAAAAATCAATTACCGACTCATTTACCGTATTGTAGTATTTAGCTAAAATAGCTAACTACAGTTTAATATAATTTTTATTTGATTAATTAATTTTTAATTAATTACCTTTTTTATCGTTTTCAGTATCATTATCTAGTATCCAATAATTATGGATTGTTATAATTATGTCAAATTTATTTCTTTTGTATCGAATACTGATCGATATAATATATCTAGGATTCATTAACTTTTAGAGGTTAATTTAACCTTTGGTTTCAAATCAATAAGGTGGTGATTCCACAACGTAGACCAATGTAAAATCTTTGGGTAGTTAAGTTGAATTATAACTTTACATATGTTGAATTTTAATAACAGGTAAGACGGTAGAGCTCTCCCCGACACCCTGATTATAGGTTTTTGACAATTTTGACTCCCTAGGGATTATTTATTACCTCTCAAAATTTATAAATTTGTTTCTATTGATTTGATTGACCTTGAGTCAAAAATTAAATGTTAATGATATTGTGACGGAACTAGCTATTACCCTTTTGTGGACTCTAGTCATTACCGCACCAGGGATGTCAAAAGTTTTTACTTTGACTGACTGTAAAAATTAACCATTAGGTGTTGGATCATTTAAGCCTTGTATTGAACTAGGGGTGCCTTGATTCTCATTTATACAAATAAAACGCTGAAATAGAATAGTTATCAATTTAATTAATAAATGAAGTTAATTCGGTTTAATCAGCAATCAAATCCTATCTAATAATTCCTATTTGGACGTCCAGTCGAACTACAAATTTTAGACTAATCTAAAGTAAATAAGCGAGTAAATAAGTATCTTGATTTATAAAAAATAGTGAAATTTCATAATAATAATATCAATTATGGTTAAATGTTCAATGAACGAGAACACAAATTAACTAATTAGATTTACGAGAGCACAACACAAATAATTCGTAAACTTCAATCAGCTCACTGTATTCACAAAATGTTTATAATCCTTGAAAGTTCTTTTGTTTATTGAGAGTTAATAAGTGAGCACTTTTCTGCTGATGTGTGTAAACAATAAGTGCAAGAAAAGTCTATATATATATGCTCAGTTTCTATATACAAATTTACAAATGTTCATTTCACGAGTGTGAAAACCAAATTTCTGTATTAAAGGTTAGAACAAACACTTCAATTTATAGTGCATTTCAACCGAATCAGTATTCAGTATTTATTAACTTATTGTTCGACTGTTTAGAGAAATTGAAACGGTCTTACTTGCTTAATCCAGTTCATACCGGTAAATCCATATAGTGATTATTTATCCATTTATCACTATTCGTAGTAATTTGCACTGACAGCTAAGGAATTTTCCACTGAGAGAGAGAGAACACAATGATATACAGAGTTGGAGCCCGTCGAGAGTGAGACAGGAATAACCTTAAACAGGCGTAGTAGAGAATTTTGCTAGGTCCGAGATGACTTGCAATAATTTAGGGGTTAATTACATGAATTGTAATCAATAATATCGTTGATAATATAGACCATGTCAGGCCTTGAGACACTGGGAGTAGTATTTTACTATAATTCGCGTACTAACGGGGGTTTTCTGGGGGTTTTTTCCTCTGTAGAGCGTTCAGAAGCGAGAGGGTGCAGAGTCTTTGCTTACTCTTCTGCTTCTTGATTACTACTGTTGTGTACCGTGCGTCGAGTCGACTGCCTTTTTCGGAGCAGGTCGCATAAATCAGGGATGTTGGGTGGCAACTGACCAATCACAACAACAAAATAGATCCATTGCTCATAGGGTAATGAAGAAATCTGTAATTTTACCGATTCAAAAGGGCTGCTGTTGCCAGTTTTACAGGAATCTTTTTTTAGAATATTATTTTTATGATAAATAATAGAAATTGAGATTATATTGATAAACTACAAATAATAACATTTTAAACTTGTTGTGGGTTATTTCCGCAACAGATATTATGACTCCATCATTTATACTTAGGTAAATTTCATCATGGGTATCTATTGATTGTTTTTGAATTTCAATCTTATTATACTTATATTAAGTTTTGCTTTTAGAAAGCTGCTTAATATTTTTTTTTTTTTAAACTTGGATACTAGACAATAATTTTCTTTGAACCAAAGAAAAAAAAAAGTTCGCCATCTTGTCACAAATTTTTAATGACATTTAATTAAAGAACCATAGAACAACAGTTCGCCTTCTTGTCACAAATTTTTAATAACATTTAATTAATAAATAATTGTGTTTAGAATTCTAAAGCTTGTGTTTTTATTGAATGGGTTAAAGGTCAGATAGCTAGTGGATTTTGGATATTTTTTGTTTCTTTTCAGATTTTTGCATTTATTCTTTTAAACAATAACTAATTGTTGGAATAGTGCCTAGTTTGGCTATTCCTTGGTAATCAAAATAATTTTTACAAAGTAGCGGCGCCCTCTCTCTACTGTACCAACACTAAGGACCACCCCAATCTAAACAACCACTGAGCAATAGTCGAGCACAAATTATGAACATTCTTTTGTTTCGACAAAAGAGCGTTACAAAGTAATCTTGAAAACCTCAAAGGATCAGGATTCAATTTTTGAATTGTTCAGAGTATAAGTTTATTATCCCACTGTCTATTTAGATTTCAAAAAATCTATCTACCTATTCTGCAATTCCTTTGTTGGCGTATATGTATATTCGAATAAAAACAAAATTCGCAGTATCGTCCACCGCAAACTAGATCGAACAACAAATACACAATTTGGCCATAAAAACGACAACTAAAATCCATTTAAAGGCACAAATTTGCCTTTTTCCATATTTTCCATTCGGCAGGAAGCGAAAAAGTGACCGCCGCCGCCGCTTTATTATAGGTACACCTGTTGTAGAAGAATGATTAATTTTTTCCACCATGAGTTTTTTGCTGTTTTGATTCTGTTATCCTTTGTGTGGCTTTTTGCTAGAATAATGTCAAAAGGTGAGTAAAAACGGAACTACTCATTAGTATTTTATTTCGTGGATTTTTTTTTGGCTAATGGGAGCATTGTTGCATGCAAAGCAACTTGATCATTTTGCCAAGGCGAGACTAACTACATATTCAAAGTGTCTGATGGCGTGCATCGGGATACTAACTATCTCACGATCTGAAAGTAAATTGAAAAATTTCATTTGACGTTATAAACGGTAACAAGACACATTCAATGATGGCAAGTCGCCTTATCTAACTAGTTCAGGAAATTGCATTTCGGTCGTTAAATATTTTCAGTCTTGTTTCGTGTGCAAGCGATGTACATGGATTACTTGTTGGCATAATGCAGCTTTTGCTTTTTACATTATCAAACGGGTGACTTGGATTTTTTCGAAAATAGTTTTATTATTGTAAATCTGAAGTAATAATTATTGTAGAGTAATTTTTCTGTCCATGTCATTGGTACCAAGAAACAATAACAGTTAGCATCTGATTTGTTGTGTTCTGAACTAGGGCAGACGCCAGACTACCAAAACTGCGATGTCCATTCTTTTATTACTGAAAATCTTGGAAAAAATCACTGTAATTTCACTAGTAATCTTTAAGTTTCCATCAGTTTATTTGAGTTGATGACTCCTATCCCTATTTGAACCTGCTATCTCTCCGACAGAAACTTGCAAATTTATGTCTTGAGGGATTTTCGCCAAACAAATTTAAATGCCACGTGGTACAGTTTGAATTTAAGTTGAATATGTTTTTATTGTTTCATCTTTGAGACAATATTTTTTCAAAGTTATTATTGTTGTTCTGTTATCGGTAGGTAGATACAGGATTTTTCATTCTTATATCTAGACATTAGTTTGAAGGGGACAAAATCCCTTAAAAATGCAAACAATAATCGTATTTCATCCTCCTAAAAATAAATAATTATAGCAAATCGATAAAAACCTAAGTAATTTGTCGCCAGAAAACTGAATAGACCTTTAGGCATTCGAGAATTTAATAGTTTTTTTTTGAAATAAAACCTTATCTGATTAAAAGCCTCTGGCATATTAAACACTGGATGATGAATAATTATTGTACAATTTGTCGAAGATACCTACAGTAATATGCGCTAAAGGTACTTTACCGCATAGTGTGTGGTGAAGTCGACTGCATAGTGTGTGGTGAAGTCGACTGCATAGTGTGCGGAGAGTGGGGTCTTGTTATGAGTCTCGTTTTTGAATGTAGAGGGAAATATAAAGTAATTGCGCCCGCTCACGGATTTGCTGGATGAAGTTGCTCAGTTTGAAAATCGAATTTTTCCCCAGATAGTGCTTCTATAATTTCATAATGTGAGCCTTTCAATTTGTTTCCACAGAAAAATGTGAAAATATTTTTGTGGAACTTTCCCAGAACTTATAGGTTGGAAGTATTTATCTTTGGGTAGGTATTTCAAAATGGATCTGGTTTCATATAGGGTCACAAAAGTGAAGTCTTCCTCACTTATTTAATCTAGAGTTGTAGAGGGACCGAGGGCTTCGGCATCGTCTTTGGCGGAAGACATTATTGAAGTTAGAAGAAGTTTTAGGGCTTAATGGTTTTAGGGCTTCGCAAGACCAAGAACAAGACCAAGACCCCACTAAACATTTTTCAGTTTCTGAAATGTATCAGAAACGTATATTTAAAGCTTGAAATGTTTCATCAAACTGCACATAAATGTGTCAGAAATGTATATGTAACTGAAAATGTCCTACCTCAGAAATGTTTCATTGTAACATTGCAGGGAAACATTTTGAAACGTTACATATTAATCATACCAAAACTTCTTTTCAAAAATGTTCATGTAACGTTTCAAGTTAACGTTTATGAAATGCTTCAAAATTACAGTTCAGGTACGTTACAAAACAATATAAATAGGCAAAATAAATAATACTACAATTTCATGTAAAAAATAAAATACTGTTTTTATTCGAAGAGATCTGTTATAATATCTTCTAATAATTATTATTATTCCATTCCTTCCACAGTGGCAGCCTAAAAGTGAAAGAAAAAATATAATTAGTGCTAGGATCAATTGTTTTATGTAATAAAAAATAAATGAACGAGTTCACGCCTTGTATAAATGAAAAAAAAACCTTACCCGGTTTTGGTTTTCTTTGTTTACTGCTGCTAGCGATCTTTCAAATCTCAGCTTTCCTTGCCTGAACCACAAACCCACTTCTGCTTGAAATTCGGCATCCGTAGTACTACCAAATTTTTTTCTTGTAGCTATTTTAAGAACATCCAGTATTTTCAAATTATGAAGAGGAAAATTATTTTTACGGCCTGTCCAGCTACATTTTGTAGCCAATTTGTCCGTGAATATTTTTTTTAGGCCTCTTCTTATTAATTCTTTGTAACTTGACCCTCCAAGCAAGAACAGAGCAGTTTCCTAAGGTAATGAATACATTTTTATTATTAATGTAAAATATACTAATCCAAATTAAGTACACTTACATTCTGGCGTTCTACACTTTTGTCAGTCTTTAGTTTTTCATCAAACTCTTTCAACTTTTTGAACTTTGAGAATGGTTTCTTAGGTACCAAGTCAAAATCGGTAATTATGTCATCATTTTTTCTCATTGTTTCATCTGAAGTTAGCCTCTCCAACATTGTTCTAATTGCAACAGTATTGCTTAAAATTGATTTAATTAATGGAGATTCTGGAAAATACATGAAATAGAATGGAATGTAAATTCCAATAAACCTACATCTAGTACTTACCTTGGCAGTTGCAACTACAATGTGACGGGGCAGCTGATGGAACCAAGCTATGATTATTATTGTTTTCTAGAAAAAAAATGTTCATTAAAGCCTTGACTACAACAGGAAAAAAAACTTACCCTTGTTGATGGCACTCACTGAGGTTAATGAAGTAATAACATTTGATACCATTTCAGTTGAAACTGTGCGAATGATTGTTGCTGAAAGAGAAAAATTAATAAAGTATATTATGCCTGTTTAAACTGAATTACTACTTGTTTGGGAATCAAATGATTTATTTGCTTTTTGAGATGAGAACGACTCTATTTTCTTATTGGTACTGTTATTGTTTGGTTCAGAATTATTCACTTTTCTAATTTTTGGGGACTCTATAGTTGGAGGCGGTGTAATTACCCCTGTTACATCACTCTCACTATCATCAGAGTCATTAAATAAAAAAGGACGTTTTTTGGCTTTCCTATGGCCCTTTCCCAAGGGCTTATTTGTTTCTGGTGCACTTTCTCCTTCAGACATTAGTCTTATGTATTCTCTTGCTTCTGAATATGAATCTAAAAAAAAAAAAATTAATGAATGAAAACAGGTAGAGGCTCAAAAGTACTAACCAGTTTGTTTTAGAATAACCACTTCCAGTTTGTCCCAACTTTCAGAATCAGGAATCGATCGACCAATAATTTTTTTGCCTGCATTTTTTCTAGGCCAGAAGCAAAGAGCAATGTTGTTTTCCTTCAGATTGTGGATGGACAGCCATGTTGATGGAACATGTGATATTTTGTCATCACAAAGAAATTTAACAATAGACCATTCCTTAAATTTAAAAACTGCTTAGGCTATTTACATTTTTTACTATAACTAACTAGTCCAAACAAACGGAAGTACAGAAATACCAAATTAAATTACAAATTAATGATACAAAATAATTAAAATTATATAAAAAATAACTTAAAAAATTTAACAATGAATTAATGGAATAATTACAATACCATCCACAGTTTGGAAATGAAAACATTTTCCTTTGATCTCACATATTTTATAATTTTGACTTTTCCTTGAGATGTTTGTTACTATGCTTATATTAAAAATTGTGGAAGAGCATGGACTTTCATAGTATGAATTAACATTTTGTGCATTTGTTCCTGAAACAAATATTTCATTTGTTGAATTATCTGTGTAGATTTTATCTATAAATACGAAAGTTTCATTATGCAACAAAACGCAATTATTTTTTGCATGCAAACTAAGCTCAAAATTTCCAATTTGCAATCTTTTAAAAAAAAGTGCAATTTGGATAGCCTGGCAAATACATTGCAATTTCTTGGTGAAGTATAATGGGCTTATTTGATCTTTTACTGAATGGTATTAAATTTAATTCTTTTTCTTTCAAGCGATTGCACAGTTGCTGCAGGGGATGCTTAGATGTTTTCATAATTTTTTTCAAGATATATAAATAGTTTTCAAATCGAAATGAACTAAAATTATCAAGGACTCCATGTTTAATGCAGTCCGAAGGTAGATGTAAAAGTCCATGCACATTATGGGATACATACTCAGCACCATAAATTACTGCAAATTTTTCAATAAAATATTTCAATAGTTGAGATGCATAATTATTATATGTAATATACAAATTTGCACTACACAAAATTCTGATAGCAACATGCAAACACATAAAATGTGAGTATTGAATTTTAGATAAATTATTTTTTAAAACAAATGGTCCTGTATATAGTAAAATTTGCCTGAATTCGGTTGCTTTAAAATGATCAACTTCTTGCAAACCTCTTGGCAACCTACAAAACTCCTTTGGAATACTTGATTTTAAAGTGATTAAATTTTCGTCAACAGTTTTAAGTTTTAGTTCAGGTAATCTGACACTTTTATTTCCCTTAACCCAAAAAATAATCAGACGTTTCATAACGCCTAGGCATACTAAGTGCATGTAGTCCAGTGGCACCTGAGACACTAAACCCACAGATAGTTCATCAAAAGGACTATTTCCTCTGTGATAGTCTTCACAAGTTTTATTTTTAAAGTCGTCATCTGTACGCAAGACAGCTGATAGATCCGGAAAAGTCACTCTGCCATTTATATATTCACCTTCTTGCACACACTTTGTACAACTAAAATAACCAGTATGACCCTTCACACATAAAATAAAGGACTTCGCTGGTGCGTCACGTATTATTTTTGAAATTTGTACTTTCACTTCGATGTTTTTGAAGCGAAAGCCGTTTTCTAGTTGTTTGAATTCGATCTGAAACTCCTGCAGGTACTTCAAAGCTGACTCTGGTTTTTTAAAACCATGATAAACTCCTATTGGAAATGGATTGGGACATTCTAAATTTTCATTATCAATGCTTATCAAAATTGGCCAAAACTGACTTGTTGAACTCCTTGACAGTGGTAAACCGTCAATATTAATGCTGAGCGATAAGGAAAGGGTTTTTCCGTCTTCGCAAAACTCTAGCAGATTTTTGGTATTTAATATATTCTGTAACATATATTTTAATCCAAAATGACAATATTTTCCTGGGGACACAACAGATATTGGAAACTGACAAGATTGTGGAGTACTTAAAAATGTTCTGCTATCACTAGGTAAAGTTTTACATTTGGGTTTTAAAATTAAAAGCAGTTCGTTCATTGCACTTTGGCTTAGAAGTTCACGGTACTTCAAAAACCAGCCCCGTACAGATTTCACAAATTCAGTATCAGCATCATTTTGGTTTTCTTGAATACTCTCACTCTCAGGCAAAAGATAATAGTTGGGATAAATACAGGGATAACTAGTTGCAGTAGTTGCAGTGGTAGATTCCTTGATTCTTGTATCTAAATATGTTTTATTCTCAATGTGATTGCACAGGCCATCCAGTTCTTCACTTATTGGTTCACCACAAGAATCATCTGGTGCTATTTTTCGGGTACAAAATGAACTTCTGGATTTTGCTAATTCTTTTTCCACTTCCATATTAACCAAACGCCGATGATGTCTTTTAGACACCATCTTTTTCTTTGTGCGTCCCATTTGTTCAAAATTGGGTTCAAAATAATGTAAAAATCTTACAAAAATTAGACTGATGAATTGAAATAAAGAGAACACAAGTGCAAAGTTGGCGCGAAAGAATTGCACATTAAAAAATCGTTAGCTTAGTCCCAAAAATTGGAGCGAAATTCAGTTTGTTTGGTTCCAGAATAATTATAGGTTAGCTTTAGAATTTTTAGAATTTTCAATGGATTTCACCAATTAAAATAAAAAAATCAGATTACTTACCAATGTTTTTGGAGCATCATCATCAGAAGCACTCATTTCGGGTTAATTATAATAACTTTATTTTATTTTATTTATAATAATTTGGACGGACAAGACAATAACACCTCCACTCCACTCCACTTCCCGAATGACGCGATGACATATCAATTGATATGACATATGACAGTATGACACTACACTACACAAATAACAGACAGAGACAGACACAAATATGAGAATTTTCACTCCATCACGTTTTTGTTTAGGACTATTGCTTTCTTTTTCTATCGCATGTAAACTGAGTTAGATAGAAAATCACCAGCAAAAAAAAGGAAGTCCAGTTGAGTTTTTCAGCAGTCAGCTTGATTTGATAGTACGGCTTATTTCTTCTTTAACCGAAACCGGTGTTTTCCTGACTAATCCTAGTGACGAATGCTCCTACACGATTCCTAAAGTCTGTTTTTTATTAAAAACAAATTCACAAATCATAAATTCAGTAACTATATTGGCAACACAAGCCTTTTTTACGTAAAAAATTTGAAATTTTGAGAGAATTGACAGTTTTACATTGTATTGCCAACATAATGTCATTTTAACTTTTGTCTTCAATAAAAAAACTGACTTTAATAAATGAAAATTCCACTAGGGTATTAATAAAAACAGTAGGTTTTGGTATAGGTGTTATTTATGGAATTAAAAAAAAAAAATTAAATGTTTCAGAAACATTTTTTAAACTTATTTGTTTTATGTTACATTTGTGCAATATTTTTGCAAATATGAAATGTTTCAAGAATGTTTCATGTTTAGCGGGACTGGCCAGTCTTGGTCTTGGTCTCTAAAAATAAATGCGGTCTTGGTATTGGTCTTGGTCTTGATGTTTCAAGACCAAGACAAGACTGGCTCAGTCTTGGTCTTGGTCTTGATAGTCGTGAAAAAAATTCATACTAAATTTTCAAAATACACATAACATCCAACGACAGAGCAGAGATAATGGGTTTAGGACTTCAAAAATAAAAAATAAACTTCTCTCTCTGAAAAAATTATACCGACGTTTCGACCATGCATTTGGTCTTCTTCACATGCTATTTTTACGACCAAGAGCGTTTCATGTCAAAAAAATACTGCTGAAGCATTCCACAACACAGAGGAACAAACAAACATCAATTCTTAAATTATAATTTTTATTAACGGAACAGGAAAGTCGACAAACACATCATGAAATTGCCATTCTGTACCGAGGAAAAAAATAAATTTCTTTTTGAACCATAAATCAAACCTACCTTACCTACCTGAGCATTCAGGCCAGAGAAAGGTTTTCAAAAACCTTCACATATTCAAATACCTCATTTGAATTTTATTGGCCTATTCACAATAATTAGATTTGGGTGAGATGTAGGGTTTGTGTTAGTTTGGGTTAGTTAGTTAGTTTAGAATTACCTTTGGAAATTCCAATAATTAGGTATTGTATTATGTAGAGATAGGAAAATATCGATGCGTTCTGTGTAAATGAATGTTACCTACACTATGTTGTACGTATGTATTTTTAAAACCTATATTACCTTCTAGTGAATTTCAAAAAATAATAAATTTGATGAATTGATTTAATTAAAAGATATTAAGAGAAGATATAGGAATTTGCATATTTTTATAAATATTGAGTCGAGTTTTTTTTTTCAAGACCAAGACCAAGACCAAGACAAGACCAAGACTAGTCTTGTGGTCTCGCGAAGCCCTAAATGGTTTACCTCTATCCGAAATTGAGCATCGATGTTCTTACTGATTCTGCCACATTCAAACTCAATTTTCTAGTTGTATTCTTCAGGTGCCAACAAACTGAGCGACGGGATCTTCAATTGGAAGAGTCAAGTCAAGTGAAGATTATCTTTGATAAAAACGAATTTTCCACAGAAGAGAGTGCGCTCAAACAATGGCGACTTCTCCCATACAATACAGTATTTTCACAGAACTTACCAAGCGAACGCTATCGGAGGATCTTTTCCTATAGGACCTTATATGCAATCGCGCGGATGGCAAATTTGCTTGCGTCCATGGTTAGTAGAAATGTGTCCTAAAATAGGATAAATCATAGTCGGATTGGAAATTGATGTATTTGTTGGGAAAAGTCCTTTTTCCTCACGCATTGGCATGCGAAAGTGCTAATTTCTCCGCACTAGTGTGGAAAAAAAAATTGTGCATGAAACTATTTGCCAAAAAGCAAAATTATTCAAAAAATATTTGGATAGTTTAATCCATTTAAATTTATAGGTCGAGTGGTATACGGCTAGATTATTTCCTGAATAATTAGGATTGAATTGTTGGCGGCAATCATATCCAAAGAGTTCTATTTATTATAAAATGGAAGACCTTGTTTATCCGCGATTGAATTTTTGTTTACCTTTTTTGACAGAATTTTGATTCTATTTTATCTCATATTTCACAAGAGTGAAATAATCACTTATTTAAACAAAATTCATTCAAAAAATGACGTTGTCTGATGGGTCTATTTTATAATGAATGAAATAATCTAAAAATAAATACACCTTATCTGTCAATGCAATCCACCTGGGTCTTTATTCTTGAAACAGGGGAGCACCGTTCCCAAGAGAACGAGTGTTCCGTCTTTCTCAATGATATGCAATTGATAATATAAGTAACAAAAACAGAACACTCGTTCTCCTGGGAACGCTGCTCCCCTATTTCAAGAATAAGGACCCTGGGCCCGTATTCTCGTCACCGGGGAACAGCGTTCTCTCAAGAGAACGATTGCTCTGTCTTAGTCACCCATATTGTTATTTCCATATTACTGAAAAAGGCAGAGCGGTTGCTCTGTCTTGTCAAGAGAACGATTGTTCTCTTGAGAGAACGCTGTTCCCCGGTTACAAGACCTAGAATGTGAAATCTACATTGTTTTGTTGTTGTTACCTACATTGAATTTCACTCTGCATTGAACCATCAATAACGATCCATAAACTGGCAATAAAACAAATTGGACATATTTTGAATTTGGATCCGACGTTTTCGATCAAGCGCTATCTCAAAACTCATTCATTTCTACGGTCGTGTTTTATTTAAACAAACCAAAAATATCAATTTGGTGATTTGTGTGAGAGCGTTATAAATTATTGAAAAAGATTGATAGTCTCTACTCTATACGATTTTTGTCATTAGAACATTATATTTTGATTGATCTATGCGTAAAGATGCTGTGCTTTCCGGCTATCTGAATCTTCAGTATTATGTGCACGTCCTTCAGTAGAGAAAGTTTCAATTTTTGGAGTAGTCTTTGAGAATATAAAAACATTTATTTGAAGATTTTTCTGTGAGGTGACAGGCTTTTTACCTACATTGCTGAAGGAAATAATCAGTTAAATATGTAGTCAATAAATAATAAAATGAATCTTGAAGCGAATCTTATGTCAGTGTTGAGATAAAAACTCACCCACTACCTACCCACGAATGTATAACAACTTTATGCTAGATCAATCTGTCAAATAAATTACGTAGAAGTTTCAAGAGATATTTGATCCTATGGTTGAACCAAATCCAAGCGGCAGTGAATGACAAACTGGTCATTTTCATTGAAACCTATCAAATGTCCTCCGTGCAAGCGCACTGGTCCAGGTAGTGCGTTTCAACCAATAGGAAGGCTAGTGTTTGTTGACAATTTGGGTTATTTGATGTCATTTACTGCCGCTTGGATTTGGAAATGGTATAGATCCTAAAATTCTTGTTTTTCTGTAACAGAAAATTATTTTTTGCCTTACCGAAATTCTTTTTGATAATGCATATTCTTGTTTCAGATCCTCCGGAAATAATAATCAAACCCAGAAATCAGCAAGTCAGAGCTGGCGGCGTCGCCGACTTCTATTGCCAAGCCAAAGGCGATCCTCTGCCGCAAATTCAATGGAGAAAAAACGGCAAAAAAGTGTCAGGTAAGCATGCTTCAATAAAATCAATTAAAAAAAAAAGTATGACGTGGAATGATTAAGCGGCAAAGAAACTTTCTACATAGATCATAGTTACCTACAACTGGAGAAGTTTCATTTTGTGTTTGTTTTCCTTTATTTCGCTGATTTCTCTCCAAACACCAAGGTCTTACATCAAGCATACGGGATGTAATAACTTCGATTTAATTTTCTTTATGAGAACCAATATTTTCCGATGCCAGATTCTAGTTGGCTTATTTATATGTAATGTTTCAGGCTCCCAAACTCGTTACCAAGTAAGAGAGTTTCCGGGCGGCAGAGCACTTTTGCGAATAGATCCAGTAAAAGCTGGAAGAGACGACGCCACTTACGAGTGTCTAGCTGAAAACGGTGTTGGTGATGCTGTTAGCGCTGATGCAACGCTACAAGTTTTCGAAGGTAAGCTCCTATCAGTATATTTCCTATTTTAAGTAGGGTACAATGGGCTGTTAATATTTTTTCGCTAAAGCGTTGCGTCCCTGTTAAGCCAATGTAGCTAATTAATCCAAGTTTCCTAAATGTAGAATAGAAAAGATCGACAAAAACGTAATAGATAAAATTTACTGGCATACGGAATTAATTATATGTATAATTATATGATGCAATTTTGATTCGATTAATTGAAACGTTCTTTTACCAAATCACTTAAGCATGATGAAAAGTTTCAACATTGATATTAACATTTTCTGACCAGTTATATCAACAAAATACCAACGCGGTTTCAACAATATCTAGAAGCACGTGATGGGTAACTTATAAATGTTAGCGTAAACGAAATAACTGTCATTG